TCCTGATGAAGCACCGCGTTGAGGGCCCCGTATATCTAAAGCCATCATTGAAGCCTGTGCATACATCTTTATATCTATCCTTACTCTCCTTTTTAATGCCAGTGTATCAGTTCTAGTGGCTTTTATGTAGTGCCCATGCCACTCTGCCCACGTGCCACTCTGCCCACGTGGGGCCTGCCGCATCGTGTGTCGGGCCAGTCGATGCAAACTCTTTTTTGCTTCACTGACTCTCTGCTGTTTGTCTGTTTTTTTTTTCTTTTCAATGACTGCAGTTTTCTTGTGCCTCTTCTTCCGTGCCCAGAGGGAGAGACAGACACAGGCCACACGCTCCCTAAGGTTATTTTTCACCATCTGCTTTCCCCCCCTCTTCCTGTCCCGATGTTTTTTTTTTTTTTTTAATTTTTTTTACTCCGATTAGCTTTTCAGAAACTTCTAGCCGGCGCCCATCTGCTCTGTGGCGCTCAGACTCACCTTTGCCAGTTGCCGGTCTCCTGCCCTGGCTACGCCGGTAGATTATTAGGCCGACGACGTTGACTGTTCACACTTTTTCACAACCGATTCCTGCACGTCAAAATAATAGCGCCATCCTTTAATGTCAGATATTGGCTCTCGACAAACGCGCGAGAGTGATGTTCGGGGACACGCCTTCTGCCGATGCATTTTATGCATTACCGGTATGTCGCAGCACTTCATTTGTTATACGTGACGTTAACCCATGAGCCTTGTTGCTTCTTAGGCTACTCCAAGGGCACTGACAATGCAGCTGTGCTGCTCTTCTGTCGTCAAGATAAACAGTCCGTCCTCTCCGTCCTAATGGATTACACACTAGAATATTTCACTGTTACACGTCATGTTTGAATATAAGGTTTTACAAATTGATACTTGGAGGTTTTATGCATTCATTGTTATAAACCGATTATCCAGCCTGGGATACACTGATCTGCAGGGCACACACACACACACACACACACACACAGAGATAAACACGCATGCATCAAGGACAGTTTAGAGTCACCCAAGGACTTTAAACTCGCAACTCTCACAAACTTCCAGGGAACGATGATATCACCAGCCACTGTTTTCGTGCCTTGGTGTTATACGCAAAAATGTGTGTCCCATCTTACTGATGGTAATTCAGTAAAATACTTCTGAATATACTGCATACATGCAAGTCTGTGGTAAACAGCTTTAGATGCTACCTTCATATCTGTAAGTAAGTATTGCACCAGGGCCCAGGGTATTTACATTTAAATCCAATTTGAATTAATTAAAGGAAGGAAAACACAAGAACGACAGGGACAGAAAAGGATCCTTTCGTAATTCGCACGGCCTGTCTGCAGGTGTGACCTCCACACGGCTGGGAGGGACGGCTCACTCCTCCCAGGCACTCCTCCCAAGCACTAAGCCCCGTGTGGAGGTGACACGGCTGCATCTCCCATTCGCAAAGGAGAATGACGGAGATAAGAGGGCCGGCAGTGTTGCCAGCGAGGGAGGGGAGAGGGAGGAGAGAGGAAGCGATGGAGACAGATGGATGATGGGGTCTGCTCTCCTGAAAGCCGGGATGTAGCTGCGTTTCTGTGTTTCTCTGCTTGCCTGAAGACTGCTTGGGCTGCAGAGATATTCCCATTCTGTGGTATATAGCTGGCAAACTTGTTTGTATTGTATTTTTTTCCGTTTTTTTTTTTAGTTGGGTCTCCGTTATTTTAGAAAATGGATGAAAACCAGCAGTCGCATCATAAAATTACTGTAGGGGCATTAAGTGTAAAGTGCTCCAGCTGCCACGGAAATCTTGCCAAGAACAGCATTTCATTACGAAACAATATTAATTGAGCTTTAAAATAATTTCTGCATTACTGAGCTGGTTAGCAAATAAATTGAGTTTTATGAATCTCTGCTTTGTGCACCATTATCACAATTATTCTTCCTTTTGTTTTGAGAAACCAATTATGCATGCAGTAATTACTGTTGACCTTCAAAAAGTGAAAAAATAACAATGTACTTATATTTATTTAAAAAACAGATTATTATTAGCTATTTTATTTTTATTAGTTACTTTACTGTAATCACAGCCAAACTGACTGAACACTTTTTTCATGAATAGTGACAGAATATCCATGGACTGGCATCCCGTCCAGGGTGTCCCCTGCAGTGTCCCTTGTGTTTCGTGCCACCGGGATCATCACCATCACACACTGGATACAGGGTTATGGATAATATAGCATGTTTATTAAGTTATAAATTACTCCTCACTAGTGAACCTTTTAAAACCTTTCTGCACATCTTTATAATAGACTCGCCCATGCTGGGGTCACAGGGTCCCACAAAAGTAAGAATCTGACATTTAAATTAATCAAGAAATTGTGGATAAAAACATTGATTTTATCCCAAGCGAAAAAAGAGTACAGTTTGGCTTGTAGTCAAGGAGGCTGAAGCCGCTGATTTCTGGTGTGATGTATGCCAGTGAGCTAGTGAGGGGGGGTCACCACGCCGAGCAGCACGGCCCGAACGCAGGAGTGCAGGGAGCCGCGATGTCGGGCCCAGGCAGTTAAGGTCACCGGTTCACCGCGAAACCTGAGGTCCTGATAAATTTTTCATGAAAGTGATACATGTGATGGAGAGCCGAGAAAGCTTTGATATCTTTCCCAGAAATTACTCATAAATGGGAGCTATTTACCTTTACTTTGAAATCAGATTCCTCCACCTATATATTTTCCATGCTATTAGTAGTCAGAAAGCATTATGCTAAACATAGCATACATCTGTTCTTATAGAAATATTGGGTGATGGTACAATCTATGGTGCAGATTTTAAGGCATAGACACAGGTGAAGTTCTTTTTACAAAAACAATATGCGTCTCATTTCATGCATGCAAGAAAGGTAATTATTTAATTTTAGACGACCTTTGGAAGTAACTTTAAGGCCTGTCTGTTTTGTGGATTGTGTATCTCCATCAGAACTTTGGGATCGCTTCAGGAGAAATGCTAAAATCCACTGTAGCACCTCTAACAACACAGTACCCATCACCTAAGCACTCTGAACTTCACCCTGGAGTTGTTCCTGTGGCTAATGATGTAACTGAGAAACAAGTTGTAAGGAATTCTCGCCCTTCCAAGTCTATTGGACCTTCCCACCCGAGGACACCACAGTCTCTGCTTGGATCTCCGCTTGCCTCGCCGACATCCTGTCTGGATGAGGGATCATCGCCTTCAGCTGCATTTCTCACAGTTCAAGCTTCTTGTCAAACCACTGCAGATGGCTTAAACTGGGGAAGCGCATCTGGTATTCGAGTGGCCAAAATGCTCTCATGTTATGGCTTTCCCTGTCTCTCTTTGTTAGTCGTTTTCACACCGAAGTTGCAGAATCTGGTCCCGGTTTACCAGTCCCTGGGCTGTCCGCTACATCTCTTTTTCTGTACTAACTTTGTTAGTGCTTGTGATCAACCAATCGGGAAGCTATCACTATAAGCACGTCCCCAGTTCTTGTTCGAACGGAAAGTGCCTCGAGTTCCTGCAGTGTGAGCATGACAAAAGTTCCTGGTTCGGGAAAAGGTTCTTGTTCCAGAAAAAAGTTTGGCAGTGAGAAAGCACAAGTAGGCTCTCGTATCAAGTTCTTGGTACTGGATTTCGGAGCTGTTAATGGAACAGCACCCACATCATCGAGTCGTTCATCAAGACCTATATAACATCTCACCATTTTCAATTAGCAAGCCAATTCCACCTGGAGATCTGTCTTTAGACATTTTTCATGTGTGATTCCTTGATGATGGAACCAAGCTACCCATCTGCATCCAGTCATCAGCATCCCTCTCAGTCTTCAGGAAACAGCTCAAGAAGAAAAGAATTTCCCCAGTAGTAAATAAAGTATATCTTATCCCATGAGCCTTTTTTTCTGGGAAGACCTTAGTTAGTTCATCCAACTGCTGACTGGATCTGTCCTAACCCGTTATTATCGATTCTAGTACCAGATGCTTTGTTTTTTTGCACTTATCCCATTGTCCTAATTGTTTTTGATCTCAATAGCTCTTCTGTTAGTTTGTTGCAATTTTCTGTAAGGTTTTCTGCTCTGGTGCTAACTTACCCTTGTTACTGATCATTCATTGGAAACTCAACCTACCTACACTTATATCTAGTTGGTTCCTAAGCTTGTGAGGTGTTTTTTGTCTTGCTTGCATGTTGCTCTGGACAAAAGTATCTACGTTTCTTTGTTCAGCAGATGCTTTTCAAGCAAGTGAAGAAAGATTGGGGTTACAGAGCAGGGTCAGCCAACCCTTTGCTCAAGGGCCCAATGGTAATATGATTATAGCACAGTGATACTTTACTCAGGCCCGTGGGGAGATTTTTGCAGCTTTCGCATATCCTGTCTTGCTTTCCATGAGACACAAAGCAGGGTCAGGCAGCATTCAGCACTGCTGTGGCCATTGGGGTCAATGGCCCAGTGGTGGCATCACTATCCTGATTTGAACAGGCAGCCATGCAATCACATGCACAGCCCTATACCACAGAGCCACCCAGAACAAGTTATGGGCAAAAATCCTTAAGTTCCTGAACCATAAAGTGACCAGCAGGCGTATGCAAACCCTTGTGTCCCGCCCCCCCATTTTTGCACTGTCCTGTGTTTTGCAGTGTTGGCCATTCCAGGTCCAGAAGCTACAAATCCAGACCAAGACTTTGTTTCTACCAACCAGTTGAGCATAAACATTCACAGTCACAGAGTACTCAGCTGGTTGGTAGAAACAAAATCTTGGTCTGGATTTGTAGCTTCTGGACCTGAAATGCCCAACACCGGTTGTGTATTTTAAGTATCATGAACCCCCCCCCGCCAATGCTGTTGTATGCACCTTTGCACCTTGCTCCTGGGGGAACAGTATCTCGTGCCACTGTATAGGGTAATATGACAGCAAAGCCCACTTGACTTGATTTGACTCCAGCTACTAAATAAATAAAGGCAATAAAAATGGAAGGTATGAACCCCGCTTCTTTTCTCCTGTGTTCTCTTCCAGATGCTCCGTGGACAACAAGGTGTCAAGGGTGGCCTGGCTCAATCGCACCACCATTTTGTTTGCGGGACGTGATAAGTGGTCGTTAGACCCGCGCGTCATCCTCCTCAACAATACGGGCGCGACGGAATACAGCATCAAAATCCAGAACGTGAACGTGTACGACGAGGGCCCCTACATCTGCTCCGTCCTGACCAACAAGAAGCCCAAGTCCTCCAGAGTGCACATCATCGTACAAGGTATCTCTCAGATATCCTCTCTGTCCAATGTCTGTTCAGAATCAGGCGCTCGTCTCAGACTTATCATCGGCTATTACTCTGATTCTGAAGGTGGAACATTTCCTGAGGTAACTGTAAGGTTTCCAGTTTTGCTTCAGTGTTTTACTGTTTGAGTACTATATTTAAAGCCTTTATTTTTACCACATCTTATTGAAGGTAGTTTTAAATCTCTCTGGTTTATTTTTAATGGGTAGCTCTTCAGGCTTGCGAGGTTGAACGCTCCCCCTGCACTATGTGTGTGCCGTCTGCATGTCCTTCCTTCTGTGGGTCTCCTCCAAGTTCCTCTCATAGTCCAAAAATATGCAGTTAGACAACTTGGCGCTACGAATTACCCTTAGTGTATGATCACATTTGGGTGTTTGTGTTCTGCCTTGTGCCTAAGACCCTCTGCTGGATTAGGCTTTAGAAGTTGAATGGATGGGTATATGGGTAGTTCAGTAGTTATTTTTCACAAGATAATTAAAAATGAATACTTCCTTGGCCAGCTGTAAATGTTTGTGCAACATGAAAAGAAGAAGTATTGGAAGGATTCTGACCATTCCTTGAAGACGCCGACCTAATTAATGGGGCACCCCCTGCAAACGTGATTGTCAGTAGCAAAATTGGGATTTAATCTTGGTTTAATTTCAGATCGTTGATAGATATCGATCTGAAAACATGCTCAGCCAAAGAGGTCTTGCCCCACTTTCAGCATAAGGCCTCCCTAAATCAGCTGTCAATACAGACACTCTCAATTCAGTCCTTTTTTGCCACATTTAGTTTCCCGAAACAATTAAGCTTGTGGGAGTTTTACTTACACAAAAATGTTCTGACGACAGAACGAAAAATGAAAAGCGGTGGTTCAGAGAGATAACCAATCAGATTGTACAGGAGTTTGGTCCAGGTAACTAGAGGAGGCGGGACCAAGATATCTGATTATCTGGTACATTTAAAAAAAAACAAAAAAGAAATCCAAAATAAATATTGCATAAATAAATTGTTTTACATATAAACATAGCATAATTAAAGATACGTGTAACTTTATGTTCATGAATGTTTTGTAGAAACAGCTTCAAAACTGTTTCTACTGGTTTAACTTGATGACAGTACTGGATAATAATTATAAAAGGTAATGTTAAAAGAATATGGATTTTTTTTTTTTAGATCAATCATTGATGGAAAAGTCAATGAGGTACATTTTAACCTGTATAGTGAGTGTATATCCAATTTAAATTATATTAGAATATAAGTATGGAGATTGTATTCTTCAGAGTCAGCAACATATTTGTTTTAGCATGTTTACAACATAACTGTACGACTTGGAGCTGCGTGGTGCTTTAGTGTAATATTTAGGCCGTTGAGGCTGACTAACACAAGGAGGCAACAGACCTCTGCCCAAACATGTTTATAATTCAATTTATATTTACGCCACGGCTACAGTCAGCTGGGAATTTGTAAGTCACCCCTCTGAAAGCTGAAATCGCATAAGAAATTAAATAGCCAGTGGGGGTGGAGATTTCCCGCCGCCGTCCAGGCCAATTTCCCAGCCCCCTTGACCGGTGATCCGTTAAGCATCGGCACACGGCGTGTCGGCCGGCCTTGGGCCCCGGGTAGCGTCGGCGCAGAGGCGGGCAGCTGCTCGGGGAGCAGTGGCCAGCTGCCGCCCGCTGGGTGCCGGTGACCCTGGCTCAGAGGTCCGGGGCGCTGTGCCTGCCGGCCGTGACCCTCCCCTGCCAGTCTGTCCCCGCCTGATCCGCGCCGTGAATATTCAACGCCGGATGCCGGCACTAAGCACACTGTTGTCGGGGCGTGGCGCCTCTTCTGGCGCCACCGTCCGTGGCACTAATGATGACACAGATGGGAAGCTGGCACAGGTGGGTAGTTTGCCCCCATGATTGTTTTATTGAAATATGGCCTGTCGACTGTGATATGACCCCTTTCAATGCATTTTTCTTCTTCCAGTGATCCTCCTCGAGACCCAATCTCTCAGAATTAGCTACTCCCACCCGCCCTACCGCCCACCCACTGCAATCGAGCATCCAATCTATTGAAACATCCCCCCCCTCCCCGTCACACACACACACCATACAGGCACCAGCAAAAAACGCAACACTCCTGTCCTTATTTTTGAAATAGCTGGACAGCAGAGTGGCGAATCCATACTACGTCGATTTTAGCTGTGAATTATGCCGATTGAGAAGCGGGGGCTGTCGCAGTTGCCTTCGCCCCTTTCAAAACAACAATTTCTGATATTGATCCGCAGTCACTTGATAGGAAACGCAGGGGCGAGGGGAATCTTGGCGCCCAGACAGGAAGCTGAAACCTGCAGTCAGGCTCCGTGAACAAAGCGTCATTTTAAGGGGGCCAGCAGACTGGAAGACAAATGAAGGTTATCCCCGCACGTCGGAAATAGCCTCAGAGTACCCCCAAGCACCTGGAAGACTCTGCATCTCCGACACGACGCAGGGCATTTCTCACAACACACTTTTCTTTCTCCGCAAGACAGTTTCATTCAGTTTTTAAAATATTTGACAGTCTCGCTGTAGACGTTGCTTTTTTCCCAGTCGCTTCCCTTCAGTGTGCTTCCAGCTGTATGTATTAAAATTTTGTTAAAATGCCGCTATGATGCATATATTATTAAATCACAATTAAGGTATTACTGGTTTTGTGTTTGAAGTGTAAATTAGTAGAGTGCGAAATCTAACTCATACATAACGCTTGAGAAAAATGTCACATTCATTAATTGAATCCTGAAATAAATTTTATACTTTGAAGAAGCGAACCCAGTTAATCACATAAGTTCATTAGAACCTGTACCAAGAGTAAAATTCTGAAATATTCCATGGAAACACTTTGCTGTCTGTTGGGAAGGCCAATTTAATTGTGTACAAAAAAGTGAACTCATTATCTTTCATGCAGCCACTGTCATTGTTGTCAATAAGACATAACCAGCCTTTTCTTGTGTGGTCTATTTAATAACATTTGGCTGCCATTACTCCAAGAATCATTAACTGCATAGCAACAGTTTTTAATAGTTTACATCACATTCTAATGGACTTAGGAGCGAATTTCCTTTCATTGTCATCTTATCTTAGCCAGATGTGCCTGAGAAGGATTAAATTTGTGGTTTCATATAACAGAAACCAGTTTGACGTTTATGCATTAAATGTTTCTTATGTAAAAGGAATGATGATGTTTATTATTAAAATTTTAAGTGGATTAAGAGCTGAAAGAGCATGTCAGTGTTTTATATGCTATTTAAAGGTACATATTTACTAGGTTCCTATAAGTTATCCCCTTGTACTAAATATATTTATAATAAAACCTTTTGTTACTTTTATCAACAGCTTTGTTTTTCATTAAAGACTGAATATTTTTATATATTTATATATCTACATATTTCTGACAAGAATTTTAAGACAAGTTTTATTTGTGACATGTGCACAGGCTATCTATAGTGACACGCAGCTCTATAAGCAGACTGTACTGTGCAATTAAAAATCACAAAAACAAAAGTATACAGAAAGTATGGAGATATGTAGAATATTCATTTATTTACATGTGTTAGGGCAGCATGCAAAGTAAACGGCATAATATGTATGTGTGCATTAAGGTATTAATGTTTTAAGAAAGATGTAGAATTCTTAGGTTGAATTATAAATGTATGATATGCAAGAACTGATCCAAATACAGGCAGAATGTACAGTACTGTATATGTAGGAGGCTTAAGGGGAAAAGCCATGACTATCCCTTTAAGACTTCAAGGCTGCCTGCTCTTATCCTGTTGCCAGGTGATCATTGTCTTGGTCATTCCATCCATGTTTCACACACAAATATCCAAACGGATGATCTGCAGTTGTGTAATCTTCCCTCGGAGCGAACTTGTGACGTACAGCGTGGAATGTCGGCGTCAGCTTCCACTCACATTTTTACCATCCTCGACATGACATTGCATCGTCGCGATTACGCTTCATAATGTCTTACCACTAGGAGAAATGAATTAATGAATGAGACGTCGGCGTGAGAAATTGACATGCATTCCTGCGCGCGACTCAGAAGCGGCTCCTCTGCCTATTTCAAACACGCGTAATGAGGCGTTTGAAACTTTCAAAGGCATTAAGAGCGGAAATGGGGACGGTTTCCCGCTCCTATTAGCGCATTACGAATAGCTCTTTCCCTGCTTCTGATGTTTTAGCCAGGGTTAAACATGCAGCTGTGGCATTAGAGCTTGGTGGCTAAAACTTAATTTAATCTTATTTTTAATTTGTTCCCTCGAATATGCAATTTACGCAGACACGTTTCTTCATATTTGCCAAATGATGAAAATAATTGTGGCAGATTTTTATTAAATAAGTTATTAGGTATTCTGTCAAGTAAATTAAAAGATCAGAATATTTATATCAGTGATTGTAAAATCATCCCCATCTAGTCTTCCTAGTAGAACAAACCCCATTACAAGTCAGTATAATCTTCTGTGGTTCTGAAGTGTCAAAAATCTATATCCCAATTAAATGGGGCAAAAAGGCTAAATTACAGTACTGTATGTGCATGCCTTTGATGGCAAAAATCCACACGTGGCTTCAGTAGGCCTGCTAGAGTGATTTCTGGACCTCAGAAGAGAGAATAATCCTATGTGCACCTGGGAGAAGCTGCCAGGTGGTCTTGGGGTCTTTGGTTTCAGCGATTCTCCCATTAGGCCAGGTGCAGCATGAAGGTCTCTCAAAAGCAAGGAAAGCCTTCCATGTTGAGGAAGCCTTATGCCAAGCCTCTCCCATCCCACCCCATCCTGATAGCTGGTAACGTTCCTTCAAAAGTAGCTGGTAACGTTCCTTTCGGAGTTTTTCTGGCTGATCTCCTTGTGATTGAGGCTGATATGAAATGTGTGTGCGGGGGTTCTGGTCACATTCAGTGTTTTGGTTGCCATTCTTCCCTAAACCTCTAAGCAGCTTGATACCACTCCACATTCCATAAGTGCTCTTAATGTTGCACTTTCTGCTCATTTCAAAAGTTGCTTTACTAGGTTCTTGCTTTGTTTGGAAGATGATGTGTAGCTCCTGCTCCAGTGCTGCTTACACTCATACCTGGGCCTTCACTGGAAGCTTAGCCTAGCCACACTCACACCTATTTGACTCTTTGACAGCACATATGTTCACAATGTGCTGTTTGCCAGACTTGCACCAAATAAGGTAAATGTAACTATAAAGCATCTGCACAAAAAACACATATAAAATAACTGCATAAGAAACAGGTGTTGTTAGCATGTACACTTAGCGTGTTCGGTAAAACATTTTGGCCTGATATTAACAGATCAAACAAAAAAAACAGGGGAGTGACTCATGACTTATTGGTGACTCATGACTTCAGCACACGGGGCCATGGCCTCCATGGTGACGGAATGGAATCATGTGACCTGATAGTATCCTTATCAGTGTGGGAGGGTGCCGCGGGCTAATGTTTGGTGCTGTGTTCTCTCCAAACCTTCTGTTTCACCCCACGCCTCACTGGGAGCCACGCGGTAAAGGTGGCAGCATCGGGATGCGTTAATGTCAAAGGCTAGCTGGGTTCCCAGCCTTGGGGCTCCTGGCAGGTGCTAAGGGACAGCCTGACATTCAGTGACATTCACCAGCCATCTGAGGGACTTTGGAGCAAGTAGAGTTCTGCTCCCTGTGTAGACCAGGCTCACCTCTACTTCACAGTATCCCTTTGGAGTTCAATCCCCAGGGCTCAGGGCTCATACCCTCGCTATCTTGTTCTATGCATATTTACTATACTGTAATTTTATTTTAAGGTATTTAAATCGTGTAGCCACTTATCCTGGCCTGGGTCGTGGGGACTTAGGGATACTTAAACCGTAGCAAATGTTCATGTACCATATTGTGACAAAAATAGTAAGCAAGGTTATCGAGTGCGGGGGTGGGAGGGGGGGGGGCAGTACAGCTGTGCGCAAGGTGCAGCAGGGATTTCTGTAGTCTGCTTTGCTACTTTGAAAGTGTGTTTTTATTTTAAATTTTTTTTCTTGCAGATGAGCCAAGCTGTGACATTTCCTGCTACTAATATTTCACACTAAGCTGTAGTTAGGTGGTTTTAATTGTGCTGACACCCAGCGGGGAGGTCTGAAAAACAGCGATCGAGTCATACCTGACGTTACGGCGTTGCAGACATCTGTATAAGGTCTTTATAATTACTATATTTAAAACGATGAACAGGAAATAACACAAATAATTCCTCCAGGCAAACAAATAATTGTAATTGCTGTAATTCAAAATATGTCACAAAACGGTTTTTCATATATCAAAAACAAAAAAAGACTAGCTAAAATATTTTACATCTCAAGCACTTTAAGGAAATAATTAGAAAACGTATTTTGTTGTGGTTAACAGAAATGTATGGGGTTATTAATTCGTTACCTGCATGACTGTGAGTGTAATTTAGGTGGTAACGGTCTCACTTCCCTTTATAGTTGATGGCTGGCTGCGCGCGCCCCACGAATCTCCCCTCGCCGCCGACAACTGACGTCGGGAGCGGGAACGTGTTAATGAATTTCACATGTTGTGTTAGGGATGAAGGTAATTACTGGTGGATCTCTCCCTCTTAAAGCTCGGTTTGGGTTTTTCATTCTCACCCATACCGAGCGTGCAAGGGGGACAGCTGGCAGGCGTTTCTCAGAGGGGGGATTCACCTGCTCGGGCTGGCTCATCCAGCGCAGCTCCCCCGCTTGAGCGCTTCAGCGGCTGTTTGTGCGTTTTGTAGGCGCTGATCATCTACCCGGTGCGGGGGCGGCGATTTTAAACCTCGCTTGACACGAACCGCCGACTCAAGATTGCCGGCAATGCGACGGCATAACGCGGCTGTGTATTTGCGTTGTGTATTTCCCTCCTACTGCCCTCATTAAAAAGAGTTGACTGGAGTAAAAAAAAAAAAAACGCAATCAGCCGTTTAGACTCAAGGAAGAAATGAAACAGAATGGGAAATGCATGTAGCACGGCACTGCATTTTCTTTATGCATCTAACAGCTAGGCTATGCAATGCGAATTTATTGTATGCATAATCGCCATCAAAGTAGCTTTGCACGATATTGCATCGCTGTCCCAAGTTCATGAATTGTGCAGGAGCCCATGGAACCATCCACCCCCGCCCATCCCCCCACGGATATGGGCAGAAATAAAGTTTGGTCACAACAAATAAATGGACAAGAGGAAACACGACGAAGGAAAGCTGTCTGCACGGCAGCCTGGATGTAGATGAGTGAGCCTACAAATCAGAACGTCAAAATACATGAGGAGGCTGAATGTGACATCTGAAGGTCCTGTCCACATGCAGCTATTAAATATTAAAGCTTTCCTGGATGTTGTATTTTATGACTGTTGAAATGAGGAAACTGTTTATGAGACTCGCGTGGCGCATTAATAAAGATGGAAGCACGCGCAATGCATAATTTTTAGATTTTAAGCATATCAGTGTGTTTTCAGTTCCTTTTCTGAAGAATGTGTCTGATTCTCTCAGCATGGCCATTCATTGTAATCCGCCTTTGGCATTGGACACTGAAATGTCTACAATAGCTCCTACAGCTATGTCAAAATTAACCTAAAATCTGAATGCTATTGATGTTCCTCGGGGAGACGAGTTCATGTATTTCTCCTGATATTATGATCTCAGAAATTGCATCCTTCTGTGAAATAAAGGCAGCGTTTTTTTCTTAAAAAAAAAAGCTTCGCTACAAACTGATGAAATATGGCACTCCAGTGATCCGAAAGTGGCAACATTATCATGCTGTCTTTATATTTAATTGAATAGGATCATTTGTGTCTCCCCGATCCCTCGGATGAAAGCGTTATTGCAATTTAGCCACACTGACAGCGTCGTGCTCACTGACACCCATTACCAATAATTCCACGCGAATAATGGGACTCTTCAGATTGTTTTGCTCTCAATAAATCTCCTGTCTGTGGATATGAAAGACCTGATGGTGATTAAATTATTTACTCCAAATGAGATGGAAGATCATCTCGGTGTCTATACAATTCCAATTTTCGACTTTAAATGTAGTTTAAAAAAAAAATCTCGTTTTTTTTTTTTTTAATTAAGCTACCAACATGGTCTGTAATTGTTTTCAGCATCACATATGTTACGAGTTTTACTCGTATCATCGGGTCATTTCTGACGAACGTGAAAAACAAAACTTCTACTTTACAGCAAATGCTGCTTGGGTATAACGGCGTACAGAAAAATGCCACTCATCTCGACGTGCTTCCCTGTGTTAGAATTTAATTACCCCGGCCATTCCTCGCTATGCAGTAATGAAAAGCAGCGGTGTCCCCTCCGCCTGGTGTCCCACGCCGCTATCAGCTCCGCTCCTGGCTATGGACACCACGGTGTCGAGCTTGTCACCTAGTTATAACTCCGCTGCAAACACACGTGCTATCATTAATTTCCCTTTGTTTGTGTGTGATGGGGGGGGGGGGGGTCTGCGATGGACGACAAATCCTGCCGTGGCGTCCCCCCGTCTAATCGCGGGTCACCTGCATATTGATAAATTCACCCCGCAAGAGCAACTAGTTTGCATGCAGTGCTGTGGTATCCCTTGGAAGGTGTGAGCAGCTGACAGCTGCCCCAAAGAAAATCATAGTAAAACTGTAACAACAACTACAACAATAATAATAATGATAATATGATTGGTAATAATCCATCCATCCAATTTCTAACAGCTTGTCTTGGGTTTGGGGTACGGGTTGAGCCTGTAGCCTATTATAGGCAGCATAAGGTAAGGGTACTTGATGATGATGATGATGCGTATTATAATAAAGCTTTCAAATTTCTATATTACATATAATGGAATAAGTGTAAAATTAATGTTCCGAATGCACTTCAAGCTTTGCACATTCAGCAGTCAGCAGTTTGGTCATTGTGTTTAACCCGGCCTTATGTACTGTATTATGAATCTGCTGACCGCATTGCCCCGATGGGCTTGTCTGTTGTGCGCCGTTTCACTGATATCCGTATGCTCTGTGTTTTCCTTTCTGTAGTTCCGGCCAGGATTGTAAACATATCCACCAACATCACCGTGAATGAGGGCAGCAATGTCACACTAATGTGTTTGGCTATCGGAAGACCTGAGCCGACCATCCTATGGAAACACCGATCAAGAAGCGGTAAGATAACAACTGTGTTCTCTGTCTGCCCCCCAACCCCGCAACCCACTGTTTCTGTTAAACCCAAAGGTATAAACCCACATTTGAGATGCTTTTCAAAGCCGAAGTGTTTTACATACGCAGTCCACCCTGTATACTCAATTCTAAAACTGACAGTAAGACAAATGTACATATTCCTTCTTTTTCAAGGTTTTCATACAGTGGCAAGAAAAAGTATCTGAACCTCTTGTCATTACCTGATTTTCCGCAGTAATTGCATTAACTAAAGCAGGTTTGCCAATTCATTAAATCTAAAGTTTCACACAGTCCTACTTCTTCCAGCTTGAAAAATGTGAATGCTTGAACGATGTATTCAGTTTCTACAAGAATTTGTGTTATTGGTTGAAACAGATTGTGTTTGTTCATTATTGCAATTTAGGTGAAGATTAGATGATATTTTCTGACAAAGAAAATGAAACCTGGTAATGCCAAAAGGTTCATATTTTTTCTTGCCACTGCATATATCAAGGATATGAGAAGTAATTGTCGAGTTTATAGCAATGTAGTATATTAATAATATAAAGCCCATAGTTCTTGCCGCCGTGTTTTAAAATGTCACCCTCTCCAACCATAAGTTCAGCTTACATTAAATCTTATCTAATGCAGCCTTATAATTAGTCTGATTTTTTGACCCGCCTACACGCGAGCGAGGAGGCAAGTGCTAACAAGATGACATTTTCTGAGTCACGGCTCCCACCTAAAGTCTGTGTTTGCAGACTGACGTTTGATTGACCGGTCTTGGTAATCAACCAGTACAGATTGTGGCGATGCTGGGGCATCTTCCACTTGCGGCTGACACTGCGATGTCCAAAAAAAAAAATGTATTAAAAAAAAAGGTACTATCTGGAGAAAAAAGACTCTTCTGAGAGAACGAGGCCTCCTAGATTCGAAATGAAAGTTTAATTGCAGAAGTTCCATATTATTTTTCTGTAGAGGGTGATGGTGACCGTTTCCTTGGTCCGGCAGTATGTGTTGGTAGGGTGAGCGTACGTATCAGAAGCCAGCCAATCACATCTCAGAGTGCCTCTCCGTGAATCATCGTGACACAGGTCAGAGAGTGTGTCTGAGGCTGATTCGAGTATAACTATGCTGTTAAAATGCAAGCTTGTTTCACCGAAACAAAGAACAAACAGCAAATGGGTAAGTTAAGCGACAGTTGACTTAACAGATTCCCAACCTAGAAGGGAACTATCTTGCTAAAAGCTAAGGACAATCATATTTATCTAATTTCTAAGGCTGCATACCTGGTTGGCTTTTCTTCACGCCCTGTGGTCTACAGGAAGCCAATAATAATGTAGCTGTTATCTGGGACACCGTAGGTTGACATGGGGCCAGTGACAAAGACTGTCGATATTCAATGATGAAATCTCTCCTCGGAAAAGCGGCGGGAGATCCTGAGCCATGGAAGCTGGTTAATGTCACAGGCTCTGCATAGATTTCCTGTTATCTCTGTTGACTTTCTGAGCGAGCTTTAATGAGAAACAATGTGCGAGTGAGGTCTCGGGCCCAGGGAATGTGTTTACTAGCTCCTCCAAGAGCCTGCATTTTGGTGTTTTGCCACAGTCTTTCCTCTTTTCCCCCCTTACAGACCCCAGGAGTGTTCCAAGGAAAAATTGTGCCTCCCGTGGGGCTTTTGGGATTATTTTAAGCACGCCGTTTTAACGGGCAAGATTGAGTATAATACCCGGCTTTCCAACAGAGCTACAAAGTACCTGCTAGCCTAGAAAAAAAATACCCGCATTCATGGTGCAGTACGATTGGACAAAAGCCTGCAGTGGGTGCTGTAATAAATTAATTATATTCACATTAGTAATGGGGTTTTTCAATTTCGGGCATGTAGCAACTGGTAAAACATATCTAATTTGCATGACTCATTAAGCTACAGGGTTTATATTCACTTAAGGCCATGCACATATATTACACAGATGCTTGGTAACATAGGCATGGATATCTCCTCCTCAATTTGGGCTGATGCCATGAAGAGCAAAGCATATATTTCCTAATTTGCTGTGAAGAAAGACTATTCAGAGCAGGCCGCGGTGTTCTAAAGTATTTATTACATAGCTAAAAACATGAGATACTGTAGGTTTTTTGTGTCTGTGAATAATGTGTGTGTGTGTGTGTGTGTGTGTATGTATGAGCGGGTATACCTTACCTTATGGGGACACAATGTCCCCACAACGTGATGAATACCCGTATTTTTTCCAGGTCCCTCTAAGGGAAAACTCAATTTAATAAAAATCTGTTACTGCAATGAAAAAACTAAAACTGTTGTATTTTGCTTGGTTACTTATGGTAATGGTTAGGGCTGGATAGGGGTTAAGGTTGTCATAGTTAGCGTTAGCATTTTTCCCATAGAAATGAATGAGCGGTCCCCATAAAGATATGTTTACCTGACTCTCTCTCTCTCTCTCTCTCTCTCTCTCTCTCTCTCTCTCTCTCTCTCTCTCTCTCTCTCTCTCTCTGTGAACACATGCATGTGTGTGT